TTATTATTATTATTATTATTATTATTATTATCGTGTTAACACTAATCAAATTCAGATTACTTATCTCTTTCAATCACTTGTGTGTTCTAAAACGTGGATTAAAATTACTCCATTCAATGAGTATAACTCTTCAAAGTAAGAGAATTCAAAACAAGACACTTATAAATCCATGCTCACGTTATTACAATGTTGCATTCGCTGATGTGGGGCCTCGGCGCCTGTGCTGCGCAGCGTGAAGCTGACGAACAACCCGTCCTCACAAGATTGTCCATTATTCGAATATATGTGTATTAAAAGGGAATTACGATTTTTAAAAACTTTCATACAATAGCCAGGAATTACAGGCATTAGTAATTTTTCATCCGCAGGAAAGTCACTCATGTTTTTTTATTATTAATGCGAGCCAATCCTAAAAATCCACATGGTGTGTGCACACGCAGTGGCGGATCCAAGGGGGCATGGGGGCCATGGCCCGTTCCCAAAAGAGCTAGGCAAAAATGTGTTACCTTCTACTTGCCGAAATGTATTTAAATACTTGTTAGAATTTTATAAATATTTTTAAAGAAATGTGTGATATCGAATATACACTACAAAAATATACAATATAATGTCTAATGTTTATTATTGAACAACAATGTATGCTTCCCCTCAAAAAGTGATCGTCTGGATGCGCCCCTGTGCGCCCGAAAGTGTGCAGAGATTGACTAATGTGTGTGGTCCCGCAGCGACAAGCTGACGAACAACCGTCCGCTGAACCCCGAGGAGCTGCGTGTGCGCGCGGGCGAGTGGGACGCCGCCAGCACGGAGGAGCCGCTGCCGCACCAGGAGCGCCAGGTGGCGCAGGTGGTGGTGCACCCGCGCTTCACGCGGCGCGCGCTGCTGCACGACGCGGCGCTGCTGGTGCTGGAGGTGCCGTTCGACGCCGCGCTGCACGTGGCGCCCGTCTGCCTGCCGCCCTACGGCGCCTCCTTCGACGGCCGCCGCTGCATCGCCACCGGCTGGGGCACCGACGCGCCCGGTGAGTCGGTCGTTGCGGCGCCTCTCATGTT